GACGCCGACTCCATCGTCAGTTCACTGAGCTACGCCTTTGTGCACTACCAGCAGCACTCAGATACGCTACATGTGCCAGTGATGCCGATCCCCCGGTCTGAATTAGTGCTACGTTGTGACGTTACTGCATTGTTCCAGGAATTGGGCGTGGATACACACGCTCTTGTGTTCGTGGACGAGTTCCCCTGGGGAATAAAGAGCAGAGTGAAGGTCACACTCATGGACCATAACGCACTTAGTAATAAGAAGATACCACAGGTTAACGGGCTCCAAGTGGTAGAGATCGTGGACCATCACTCGGATCTGGGCCAGCACTTGGACGCCGAGAAGAGAGAAGTAGCTTTTGCTGATGGTAACGCACTGGTGGCATCAACGTGTACGCTGGTTGCCGAGAGGCTGAAGGAAGTTGCGACTCATGAAGCGCATAAACTACTATCGACTATGCTACTGGGAGTGATCGCTCTGGACAGCATCAACTTCGACCCGAATGCGAAGAAGGTGACGCCGAGAGACGTCAAGGCGGCGGAGAAGCTGGAGGAGATGGCGTTTGCGAAGAAAGAACCACTGTTTAAATGGCTACAGGCAGAGAAATTTAACCCCGCACATTGGGGAGCATTTACGCTCGAGAATTGTCTACAGGTGGACTACAAGGAGTTTACGTTCACGACTGCAACTGGTGCCTCGAAGGTCGTCGGTATCAGTGCCGTGCTGATTGACTTGGAAGCTTTTGTGCTTAAGACTAAAGATGCCACTGCACTGCGTAAAGGAATGACTGACTACTGTAGGCAGAATACGCTGTCGTTCCTGGTGGTGATGACGATGTTCATGACGTCCGACAACCAGCGCCACCGCCAGTTGCTCTTCTTTCAAGAAGACGGAGATGATGCCAAGCAGTGCATTGAGTATATCAAGACGGAAGGTTCACTGCAAGTGGAACCATTACTCCTTCCGGGATCGCATCGCGATGAACATTTAGCTGCGTTCAATCAGCTCAACACGGGCGCGTCTAGAAAGCAGGTCGCACCAATGATCCAGCGTGCACTTGCTCAGTAGTTGTAGATTCAAACGGAGACATCTGGAACAATAGAGCGAAAGCAGCACTTGGTCCCGCCGTGAGCACGTATACAATCAGTAAATGCCAGAGACCTGTTTAGGATTCTGCCATTGCCGTACTAGGAACCATCGCGAGGGTGACGCTGGTCTTCGCAAGAACGAAAATCCGGATGAGGATGGAGCCTAGGACGTTGGGGATGCCCATGGAGTCCTCGATTATAGAGTCCTGCGTGCGTCCAGTAGCTACGAGAGACAGCAGTTACGAGAGATACATAGCGCTAGACGTGTGACGGCTGCGCTACTAGAGTAATGGATGTTGAAGTGGGTTGGCCAATGGAGTGCTTATCCTAAATGCAGGGTTGGGCGTATGGTTGTATTTAAACACTTAAGTTATTGCAACAATCGGCGAGGACAAATCAAGACCGTACTTTTACAGGATCATTTCTATAGTACCTTCTTTTCTACTTGACTTTCCTAGTAGACAACCTCATTAACTTTGATGATCGTATTCGACTTCATTCATTGACTCGGGATGTCGGTGGTTGCAGTGCTG